CCCCCCCTTCTATTTTGTGTTTCTTACTCTCTTGTAACAGCTCTAAACTTCGACACTTATATGCCTTATTGTGTTGCAAGTGCCGTAAAACACTTACTAATACGAAAACAACTAAGTTTGATGCTTAGTTTTGATTTTTCTAACTACGGAAAATGCAGTTTTTCTCAAAACTACTCGTAATCGTCCACTCCTATTCTTATGGGCACAATACAATGCTATTATACTGTTTGTTGTCTATGATTATATGAGCAATGTTTAGACCAGAGGTCGCTACACTTTTTTTTTCAAAGTGGGTCGGATAGCTGCGAGAATGCCGAGCGCGGGCTGGATAATTATTTTGTTAAAACATGTGCTTTTTAACCGAATTCATAAAATAATACGTAAGTTACCAGCTCTCAAAGCCATAAACGTTAAATCACATAATTCTTATTATAATCTGTACTGCAGAGTTCAACGAAGTGATGACATTGTTATGGTGACGACCAAATCCTGAGCACCCTATTGACACAACTTCCAAGTCTCCCCCCCCCTCCCCAATGATGGCAAGGCCAAAAAAAAAACCCACCTACGTAATCAATTATCACTGAGTAATATTCTTATTCACAACGATAAAGTTGCATAACTTTTTAAACCATTTATCCAGTCTTCATGCTTGTGTTTTTTTATTCCTTAACCTTTTTTAAACTCTGCGTAATGACGTGTATCGTGGTAGATAATAAAATTAATGATTACCAACATTTTTCATGAAACCCCCTAGTGGCAGGTTGACGGGCCAGACCATCAGATCTTGCCGGTCGTATCTGGCCCGCGAGCCGTAGTTCGGTGACCCCAGGTTTAGATGCACTGATAAATCTCGCCATGTATGTTGTTGTTGTTGTTGTGTGATATGAGCCGTGTACATCTTCACAATACGCCGCTGTGTCGTCGTCCCCGAGTCTGATAATATCTGAGCGCCGTGGTTACAGCTGGCCTCGCAGGGTGGGGTTAAGAGTAATAGTTTGTGTTATCCTCATGTGGTCAAAATTAACTCATCACTTGTCACGGAATAAAACTCACATTTTTCAGTCAGAAAAGATCCCAATCCGAAGCGGGTATTGTAAACATTTATTTTTCTTCTTTTTTTTTTG